CGTTTTCGGGATTTTGGGCTTCCCCCCCGCGTTTTCGGGATTTTGGGCTTCCCCTCCGACACCCCCAGACCAAACAAAGCCCAGGTGAGTTGACTACTGGCCGCACCCAGGAGCGGGGTTTCTAGTTGGTTCCCAATTGGTTCTTAATGACTCCTTGAAGCATGACTCCCCGAAACATGACTCCTTGAAGCATGACTCCTTGAAGCATGACTCCGTGGTGGACGCTCACGAGCTAGACGGTCCGTGTGCAGTGTCGGTGTGTCGCGCATGGGGTCGGGCGTAGGCCAGTCTTACTGTTCTTCGTGAATGTGGCGATTTGGCCTGATACAAGTCCTCAGGAACGTTGTTTCGTGTGCTGCGCGGATTGCAAAACGGAATGAACCCTCCCGAGGTGGCGACGCGGGTCTCCAATGAGTCGTCAGGTGGCAGTGTAACTTGGCTAACTTCCCAGATGAATATCTCAGGCTTTGCCGAATACTTTTGGAACACATGATTTGGCATATTCTTCAACAAACTCATTAAGTCTTCTTCATGCACCTCGGCAGCACTATCACTTATCAATAAATCTAAAAACGAACCATTGGCCACCCATCCGCTGAGTATTACGGAACGAAAAATTCCGTTTACTAGTGTTCCGCTGAGTATTGGTGTGAAGAGTTTTACTTTCGGCGCAAGTGAGAATAAATGCGCTCGTCTTGATGAGGTATTCATGATCGTCTTGTATAAGTATTTGGTCCCAAATAGCTAGTAGCACGTTGATGAGAGATGGATCCTGTTGAACTTCATACACATAGAGCAATAAGTGCCAGGAGAATGAGAAGAGTTCTAGTCCGAGATTGAATCGTCTGAGTTGTAGATTGAGTGTAGGTGTATATTGGTCAACGAATTTGAGTAATCGTTGGCATTCATGTCGAACCAATTTAAAACCTGATTCAAAACGAAGTATGTTATCCCTTTTGAATAGCCATTGATACATCATTTCTGATGCTTTTTTAGTATGTCCATAAGCTACGTATAGAAATAATGCTGCTATATAATTCATACCCTGACAGTAATCTGTAGGTTTAGGTGCTTTGAATAATGACGTTGCTAAAGTGTCTTCTAACTTCATTTGCATAAGTACATCGAACTGTGGAAATTGGGTAAAAGTACGACCTGTATCCTTACGAATCTCCTCCGGATTTCGTGTATAAGAACCTGCATGCAATTTACAACGCTCAAATGATGCCGGTGTAGGATAAATACCAGGATCACCCAATGCAGAACACCATATTATATCTCGAAACTCCTCATTCAGAATATCACCCCACTTCACCATGGAACGGATCGATTCCAATGCTCGCAAATTCATATACCATTCCTTGCACACGAATAAACATTTACGCCACTCAGATAAAGTCAGGTATGAACAGAACCGAGGACAAACAACCAACACGCCTCCATTATCTACAAACTAGGACTGGACTGGATTCCCGGAGACCCCTGCGACATGGTCACGGTCTTAGGCTTAATGCCTTAGGCTTAAGGTCTTAGGCTTAAGGTCTTAGGCTTAAGGTCTTAGGCTTAAGGTTAAGGGTTTAGGTCTTAGGCTTAAGGTTAAGGGTTTAGGTCTTACTGCCATTGTATCGCGCCATCTGATTCCTTCGGGCTGACGGTATACACGTTTCATATCTTACTACCGGTCTTGAACAGTCACATGCTGCCCTCATTTTATACAAAAACACGTCCCTGGACCCCGGCAGCCGGAGGATTAATTTGACGTAGGGCGGGGCTCACGCAGAACTCAGCTTTTTCGTCAACTTTTTCGATGTACGCATTCGGCGGGGACATCAGCCATGGCTTCCACTTCGGGATGGAAGTGTACTCTGATGTATGCATTACGAAATGTGGTAACTTGGACGGAGCTGGATGCATGGTAAGCTACCCGGATGTGTCTTCAAGCACCTGTGTACAAATTCTCGTGTGCGGAAACACGTGTATGGATATACGTGTATGTGTGCAAACTTCTGTGGAAACACGTGTGCGTCTTCCCACGTTCTTTATTAACGCAGATTAGTGTGGAACCGTCTATACACGACGACCCAGGCATTCAGATCCTGCTGGGGCCTCGCCAAGATGAATTTCGGATGTGGGCTCTGGTCCTCGGTCGCAAGATTCTGGCCAGGCTGGCGGGACGCAAAATGATTTTAATGCTCTCTATCAACGAAGAAACGGCAAAGGATATGAAGCTTCTCAAACTACTAGAAGCAGAGGTTGAGGAAAAAATGACGGAGACGAAAGTTCAAAGGATACTGAGGCCACAATCAGAGCCTCTGGTTCCCCCTCATCTTCTCTAGAAGCAGCTGTCTGTTGATAGCTGTCAATGAACGAGCGTCCGTGAGTAGTCGGGTATCACAGCTGTTAGAAGCAAGTTGCGTCAAGGATTTTTTTGATTTACTCAGGCACCAGTGCACCTGTACCAATTTACACGAGGCGACCATGCAACCTGGCAGCGAAAATGTTACGGCCGGCCGAGTATTCATGGATGCTTTGGTTCGGACTCTTGACGGACTCGGGGTAAGTGACCCGAAGCCATGGGGATACCCGCTCAGATTGTAGGACGGGCGGCGAGATCCGCAATTGTCAGTACGGGAGTTACCGTTTCGCGCGCAGTTTATCCGGTCAAGGAGTCCTGCCTACACGTGGTTTCGTCTTGGAGTCCCACGCAAGCTTCCAGAACGCAGCAGCGGCCGGAAGACATCTACCGGGCGGCGCAGTTTGGTGTAGAGCGCGGTTCGCAAGAAAATTCTCTGGAATATTAGGCGCAGCACACGCGTGTGCTGCGCCATGAAATTACATATTTCGGCACTTGCCGCATTCGCCGCACTGTGCCTGGGGGCCAGTCAGGTAAATCTCTGAAAATTAAGCCAGTATTTACTGATTAGAACCCGTTGCACATTACGCCTGAGGACCAGGGCCGGACGGCGCTCACGGCGATTCAAGAGCTTCCCGACGCTGGTTTTAGTGGCGCTCTGCAGTCCTTGGAGAGCGCCGTGGGTAACCTGAATGCGCAGGTAGCAAGAGCGGAGAACAGCGTGGCGGATTTGAGTGCAACCTTGGGCGCTCTGGGGATTGACTGGTCACCTAGCTCGGTTTCAAGGGGAGAGGTGCGGCGGCGCAGCTTCAGCGGTCCGCAGACGTTGTCGATGGTGCAGCGGCTAGACGTGAAGGCGCAGAGAGAGTGCGCCCGTCGGATTGAGGAGGCAAAGGCGCTTTTGACGGAGAGCGTGAAGGAAGCCCAGGCCTGGGACGCGCGCGGCGACCGCGCAGGACGCAAGGCCACCGCGCTCTTGCGAGTCAACGACGCACACGACCAAGCGGCACTGGCCAAGAATCTCAACACGCATCTACGGCTCACACTGCGGCTGCGCAAGCTCGAAAAAGCCTTGGACGACGTGGACCAACTGTCGGACACCATTCAGTCAGTTAAAAACGATATAGACGCCGCCTGGACCGGAAACCGCCTTGCCGAGATCAAACAGGCGGCCCGGGCTGCCATCCGCAAACACCACCCCCAACACGACGCGTCTGCTCAACCGCCCGAACCTGCTGCGCTGCCTCAGTCTCCGGCGCAGGTGTGGTCTCCGGCAGCGGAATCCTGTGACTCGGACGCTCACCCCCTCTCTATAGGCGCCCAGTCTTCGGACAATGCGCAGTCTCCGGACAATGCGCAATCTCCGCCTAGCGCGCAACCCCCGTCCAAGCAACAAGACCCCATCCACTCCTCTACCACGAGGGTCGACGTCAACGTGAGGGACGCCGGACTTGGCTCCGAAGCAACAGCTGCCGGTGGCTCAGGGGTAGTCAGTGGTCCCGAAGCGGCTGGTTCGGTGGTTGACTCGACGGCTGGCGCCGCTGCGTCACCCGCGGCGGAGTAACAGCAACACTGAAATCGCTCAACAGATCAGGGCCTTCCCGACCAGGGCCTTCCCGACCAGCGGTCGAGTCCTGACCCACCCAGTTACTGTATGACAAGAGCGTGGTCGTATCTGCCGGCAAGTTGCCTTCCGCCAGAAGATTACCTTCAGCTGACAAGTTGCCCTGCGCCGTCGGAGTGATCCACTGCTGCGTATCGAATGCACCTCCCGGCTGTGCTGCAGTTCCCGCTGCTGCGAGTATTTTTTCGTCCTGAGCCTTCACCTTTTCAATATGTTCATTGACCTTGACGAATGCCATGTAGCTCGAGACGCACCAAGACAGTACAAGCAACGCATATACAACTTCCCCCAGACACGGCACCAGTGGGGGGCCCGTGATCAAGGACTCCAGGTAATCGTCATCCGAAGGTTCCGGCAGTGCCGCTGTCTGAGCCGCAGAGGAACCACTCGCAGATTCATTAGTCGCGGACTGGGCGGGGGTTGCTTTCGAAACCGGAAACAAGTCGGACGTCGGAATAGACGGGCCGCAGGTGAGAGGGTCCACGGCCATCAGGACGCTGAGTAACCCGACCCAGGTGGCCCCCCTTGCAGGCCTCACAGCCAACATGGAGTATTTCTGAAAATATTATCTGCCGTCAGGGGACTCAAAAAAAAATCGTAATATTACCCCGTAGATGCGATCCCCCATAGATGCGGCAGTACAGTATTCCTTTTGGTTTCCCTGATCAAGTTGGCGGCTTGTTTCTTGCTTGCTACATCTGCAGGTTCGCTGCTTCCTTCAGTGCTTCTTCTGCATCCTTCTTACTTGGGGATAGCGAACACATCATATCGAGTGGATCAATTATTAGGTTACCAACAGCCGCATAAACCCGGTTATCCTTCGGATACGGGGCAGTGGCCACTAGTGCTTCTCTTGACTTCTTTCCAAATTCCTTCACCGCACGCGGTAACTGGCTGGCGTATTCTGATACGCACACTGCCTCTTTTTCGCGCAAATCCAGTCCTGTACAGAGAAACTCTGGTTCTAGGGCTAGGATGGTTTCTAGCGTTTTCTCTTGACAGAGGAACTTACCAACTGCGACTATCTCTCTCCGCCAGCCACAACTATCAATCAATGTGCGCAATTCGCTAGCCGCCCACGCTGCTCTGTGACTGAGCAGTGCTTCTGCCCTTTGCTGCCCGTTCTCCTGAAAGTCGAGGAGCCCATTTTCGTTGATTGCGAAGACACCTTCCATGGTCATGAGCGCGAGTCCAAACAGTCGGGTCCGTAAGGGAATGTTAGATACGGGGGATTCCGTCATCTTGCAGAAGTGCGGGTGGAAGAAAAAGCTTCGGTTACTTTTCAGCCAATGTAGAACTCTCCCAAGATCTTTGTGTACATAGGACAGAAGTACTCCGTCGGTTCTATCGATAATGCCGGTCCACTTGTGTCCCGCCATTCCCTTGCAGATTGTGTTGACTGCTGCCGGCTTGTGCGTGATCACTGCCAAAACACCAAAAGGGTTCGGACTACCCGGGATTCGCGTCGTGATTTGCTGTATTCTGTCGTCAGTAAGGTTCCCCGCCAAGAGCCTCGCAAGCGGTGGTATATACATTTCATCACTGCCTACCCTCCGTGATGATATTGGGGTGTTACCCGTATGACAATAGGTGATAGCAAGGAGTGTGACTCCCAAACATGCGTCTTGCAACGACAGTCCCGCATCTGGCTCCACACGGAGTTCCGGTCTGCGCCTCTCCGAATTCGTCTCCCCTTTCCCATCCAAGTTCCAACCCAAATACCTGTCCAAATAGACATCGACGAGCAATGCCCCTTCTTCAATAGGGTTAGGCTCCGAAGACATAGTAGTAATCCACAAGGTAAAATCGCCCACACCGCTCCAAGAACTCGCTTCAGGAAAAACAGGACTTGCGTTCTGTCTTACGAAAAAACTTCTACTTTCTGTCTTTTCCGTGGAGAAACTACACCCTGCACAGACCAACGCCGCAACTATCCCATCATGGTTGTGATCTGTGGTCGTTTCCACCTGGGATGTCTGGCAATGACCACAGTTCAGCTGTATCTCAATCCTGTTACGGTTGGCTGACCACCAATCTCCCCCCACCCCCAATCTCCCCCCACCCCCAATCTCCCCCCACCCTCGATAAAGTTTTTTATTCGGAGGCTTCTCTATTAATTCGGATTCGTTCGGATTAATCAGTTGGATTCGTTTGTCTCACCAGCGAGTATCGCTCTAATCTTTCTTATAGCAGGGGTCTCAATTAGCAAGTCATGGTCTGTAGGTGGGGTAGGATTAACCCAAACAGTCGGGTTCGCAGAGGAATGTCAGACAGCGAAGCGTTCGTCATCTTGCAGAAGTGCGGGTGAAAGAAAAAGCTGCGATGATCCTTCAGCCACTGTAGAACTTTCCCAAGATCTTTGTGCACTCCAGACATGTCCGAGTCGGTTCTCCAGACATGTCCGAGTCGGTTCTCCAGACATGTCGGTTCGATCGATCAGGTTGGTCTACCTGCCATTCTTTTGCACATCCTGGTAATTAACGGCGGCTGATACCCAAGCACTGTGGCCAGCGCAAATGGGTTCGGTCTATCCCCGATCAGCGTCGTGATTTGCTTGATTCTATCCTCAGTTTTCTTTTGAAGTAGTCGTCGGACGGTGGTCGCATCAGCCACCGCTAGTAACTAAGGCATCGAAGGACATTGCCTTGGAAATTCTGGTAACTGTAATCGTTCGTATATCTACCGGATCCCCAAGGTCCGCAATCTGTTGCAACCTGCTAAAGAGGACCCTGCTAAAGAGGACCACGCAATGAGACCCAGTTACGAGACAGTCTATACGAATTGGATTAGTTGAGACGAAAAATAAATGACGACACGAAGGGAGAACAAATTGGTGTCAGATGTCGCGCGGTTTCATATATAACATTGGCTACAGGACTTCTTGGAACAGGACTACTTCTTGGTCACCTGAATTGTTTCCGAGCTAGCTGTATCACCTCCTCCTAGCCAGCTGCACAACCTCCTCCTAGCCAGCTGGATTACTTTTCTTTCAGCGGCTTCTTCTTACTACTGTACTTACTACTGTTGGGGGTAGTAGTAAACGACGTTGACCGGTGCCACATTCGCGGGCGCAGGCGCATACCTATACGGTTGCACGTTGGCCCGCTGATAAGCCTGTGCATAAGCTTGCTGGTTATAAGCCTGAGGGCGAGAATAAGCCTGAGGATAGACTGGGGAGTGGCAATAGGCCTGTGGGTGGCCTCCGAGTTGACGTTCCAGTTCTCGTTGGCGCAGTCTCCGCTTCCTTTTGGCCATGACGCTACGGCGATTTTGGAGTCTTCGATCCTCATGATTTTTGTTCACGATAGCAACTCCAATACCACCCAACAGAAGCAAGGAAAGGATCCCGAAGACACCAACCGTCGAAGTCATCGCACGGGTGCTCTGCCAATATTGGGCACCCATAGACCCTGTCGGCATACCCGTCGCCACACTGGCCACATTCGCCGCCACCGAACCCAGCCCAATGGCCGCGCCCGTGATGGTTTCTGCCTTCACCATTTCCGCTAAAAAATATTTGCCCCCGCAACGACCCGGGCTCAGTAACGATAATTCACCATAATTCCCGCAATAATCGTCGCGATATTTCCCCGACACTTGTCACCACCCA